CTGGTTTTTGTTCTGTTTAATTCATCTTTCTATCTATCCATCATCTATCTTTCCCTCTATCTATCTATACAATTTATCGGAAATGAACTATATACGTTCACACTGTTAAGATTTATTTTCCTATAGACCACCACTGTTTCAATGACTAATCCTAGCTATCCATCTAAACCAATTCATCTCTACCGCAAAAAGTCACATAAATAATAATAATAAACACAATGCTACAAGTTAATAAATAATAATACAAAATTGCCGGTACAACAAAGAACTCTCATGTTGCGAAGACATTTTGCTAAATCTATTAATCTACATAATAATATATAACCTTTAATCTACATATGTTCGTATTCTTCTAGTCGTAAAAGCAATAAAATCCTTTAGAAATAAGGGTGTAAGATGTTTTACCTCGCATAAAGACTGGAGATTATTTGTTGATGTTCAGAGACGCGATTCGAATTGTTCGTGAAACTGAAGCACTTTTCGAATGAGTAAAATTCGTTGTTTGTAAGTTCTTGTATGTTAATGTTCTTTTCGTAGAATGCTTTGTCAGTTAAGTGCTGCAATTGTCAGAAATTATTAAGACATAATAATGCTGCACACAATTGTCAGAAATTATTAAGACGTAATAAGTGCTTTTGAGAGGGACAGACCTTACTTTGGTGTTAATGTGAGAAAAATCCTGTATTCACATTTTTGGTTGTTACATGACGGTAATTCGCACAACTGGACTTCATCACACGTTTTTTTCTAGTAGGTTTTCATTGTGTGATGAAAAAGAACATCAAATCCTAATATCACTTGAAATCTTTGTTTAACCTTGGGATTAATTTTATGAAAAATATATATTTTTCTTATACGCAACGGGAACATCTGAGGATTTAAAAAAAGAAATAATAGATTTTAAAAAATACAAAATTATGAATAATCAAAGATAATAAACAAAATCGGGTGATCATATTTTCAGTGGTGTTGCATGAAAATAATAATTCGCACAAAGGAAGGAGTTTCACACATTCGTCTTTTTTCTCATGATCTTCATAACCTGAAAAAACTCCCAGCACTTCTGTGACTTAGTAATTTAATTTACATTCGTATAAAAAAAAAATCTTATACCAAGAACCTAATTCGCACAACCGCTGAGGGTGTTCACATCACACGTGCGTTCAGTGTGATCAAGCACCCTTGCGACTACAATACTTCTTATAATCCCCTTAATACTCCTTTTTTTAATAGAGCTGATAAACGAGTTGAGCATCTGCCACATATGTTCACGCAGAGGCACTGGATTTGTTATTTTACTTTCTCCGTAGCATGCTTAGTGTTATATGAATAATACTTCCAGATTTACGTATAACTTCATATTTGTATTATTTCAAATGGTCATTACAAGCACAAGAAATAACTTAATACATCAAAATGGATTCAGTGCAGTTTTAGAAGGATTTTTATTATAATAATAAACTCCCAGCACTTCTGAGACTTCGCAATGGATTCAGTGCAGTTTTATAAGGATTTTTATTTTATAAGGATTAATACACCCACCAAATAACAGTCCGTTTGATCGTCCACGGTTGGTGCTGAACTACGGCGCGAGTGTCACACAGGCGCCCTGGCCTCCCCTGACCCTGCTGACCTAGCATGGACCCCAGTGGCGTCTTTGCTGACATGACTTGTAGATTGTCACCCTTATGTCCCCGAGACAGAATGCCGATAATGCCTTGTAAAATACTGAAGGGCTTATCACCATCAAACTTTGTAGCTTTAATATAATGTTGCCCTGAGCTACCATTCCATCTACCATACAATCATTGGAAAACCATTTCCATGGTGTTTGATGGTCACCTTGGGTTTGAATTACCTTCAAGGTATTTTTTAAATACTACTACCGTAAATCTGGCATTGGCATTATAAAACAAATAATTAAACGATAATATAAAGATAATAAAAATGACTAATATAAGATGAATTTTCACTAACAGCCGAGTCTTTGCTCTCATTACATTCATGTAACATATGTGTGGCAATAAACTTAATATGCTTCTCTGTATACAAAAAGGCAAGCATTACTACTGCCGCATTCATGCATGCAAACCTACATTTACATACATAGAATATGGATGTGTTTTATCCTTCGAAATTAAAACGACGGGAAATATCATCGGAGTGAACGAATTAGTGCCAGCGGCCGCCATGATTCCTCGGTTTGCTTCTTTCATCTTTCAAAAAGTTGGTTGTTTCACGTGAAGATGGCAACCTGTCGGGCGTTAAGCTGGAAACTTATCTGACATTAAGCTGTACTAATCGACCACAGAACGGATGTAGAAACGGTCTATATACAGTTGTTTATCTTTATTAAGGAATATGCTAGTTCCAGATTGACCCAAACTTTTGCTATCTTTTCTCGAAAAACGTTTGCTGCAACTTTTTTTCAGGACGACCCGACAGGTTCGAAACTTTTCAGCCATAGTACGCATATCGCATGTTTGTATTATAATTCTAA